ACAGGGGAAATCAATTGACGAAGTCGTGAACTTACAAAGACTGAGATGGTTAGGACATGTGTTACGTATGCATGCCTAGTCATCGCCTTCCTCGACGAGCAATGCTAGCGGATATAGGGTCAGGCTGGAAAAAAGCTAGCGGCGGTCAAACAAAAACTTGGCACCAGTCAATGAAATCCACAACAGTTGGTCTAAGCCACGTAGGAAGGTGTAGACTTCCAGGCTGGGGTCCTCAGGACGGTAAAACTCTATGGTTGGAAACAATTGGTGACATGGCTCAAAATCGTTCTCAGTGGCGCAGATGCATCCACTCCCTGTGACTTATGATCTCCGATGAAACTGTTTTGTTCTTCGTTATTACTCCTCCTTTGTCTCACACCTCTGCTCACTGTCTCTATTATGCTTTTCTTGTACTTTCTTCTCTTGCTTCGCGTGCTGCACGGAGTGTGGCGACTTGAACTTCCGCACATTTGTGCAAAGTTCTATGTCAAAGACAGACAGGCAGACTTTAATTCGGAATTTCTACAAATCAGTTACGTGGCATCATCTTAGATTTTACAGAAGTGAAATGCATCGTTGACATACTCAAATTATTTAAATTTTTACTGAAAAAATATGCATTTTTTGAAATTATTCACCAGATATAACTATTTTGTTTGTTTGGAACGTCAATCACCGAAACAATGACGTTAAAGAGTAGGGCTATGATTAAATTGAGTACGACAGATGAAAATAAGCACACCTAGCAGACAGCACTGGTTGTCATCGTTTCAAGGGATATCCCTGTATGTGCTCCTACATAATTGCATGAGTTTGAATGCTCTGTACGGATCAGCGTAAATTACTTCCTTGTGACCGCCTTCACACATCGTTGAAATAATCCTCAACTGACGGAACCAAATACCACTTTCAAGTCAGCAAATATGACATGTCAGATATGTCCAGTGATAGGTTTTGTGGAGCTTCCAGAGGAAACTATGGTGAAATTTCACCCCTAGAGCGCTGTACCTTGTAAATTGCTAACTAATTTGCAAACTACAATTTTGCTTTATGGTGTCACCAGTCTGTCCAAGTGGCTAGCCATATATCGGGTGTTTCGAACCGATTCGTCTCACTGACCAGAGTCAACACCGGTTAAATTGCTGATGAGCTCAGTTCCAAATGAGCAAAAAAGCTATCTGGTGTTTGGATAACTTCGATCTGGTAAGCAAGTACTACTGGTTGACATGATTAGTATACAAATATACATCTAAATCAATTAGTAGCATATAGTTTTACGCATTTACGGAGTTCTGTTCGAATGAGAAAAAATCACCAGCAGCTAAGAACAACCTTCGGGTAAGTCACGATATTCAATATTCAGGTCCACACTTTCTCACCTTAACACTAAATTATAGTTAAGTCAATATGAACGAAGAGTATTCTTTACAATAATTTCTCTTCAGGTTCTTACAATTATAAAATGTAATATCTGTTGTCGTCGTTACAATAATGGCCAGTTATGCGGCGGATACATTTTTAACGTAGAATAACAGATTAATTATGGGGTGTCAAAATAAATGGTAGTATTTGTGTGACAAACGTTCTAGGCTGAAATCGATTATAAAATATTGTGAAATGGGAGACAATAGTGGTGATTAGTCATAGTAGATTCATAGAATGTGGGGTAGGAAAAGTTGACAAGTCAGTTCAAGGTCATAAAAGGTGTCAGGTGAGTGGTCAGCACATAGTAGTATGTATTAGAGAGGGGATAGCAAGACTGCAATGAGAGGTTTATCGTTAAATAACTAACGTGTAAAATGAAACAGGTGTAGGCATGTATTGAGAAAAGAGAGGATATCACTAATAATAAGTCCGGATAGTGCAAATAGAAAATTCGATAGTATTGAGAGAATGTTTGCATAAAGGGTCAAAATTATGACGGATAATAATAATAGTGATGATAAGCAAAGAAAGAGAAAAAACCAAGAGGGTTAAGGGGAAGAAGCAATCTTGGTGATAAGAAGAATCACCACTCCAAGTTTGGCCACGGTAGGAACAGCGTCTGGACGTGTTCTTTTTGGATACAAAGTTCTGGTTCAGTCGACTGTATTGCAACAGATTCAGCTATGTGTAGCAGACGTAAGTGAACTGTACGGGATGACGATTTCGGAATTCGGCATATAACCCTGAAAGCTGTGTTGACGTTGATGCAATGTCCAGTATCGACCAAGTGTAACATGATCGAGCTTTTTATGCACTTAATTTCTTCCCTGCTGAACCAAGCTGGTAAGTGTTCTCGAACCAGTAGACGAACCTGCCTAATCGTGCGCTCTATATAACTTGAACCACAGGAACAGTTGAAATGGTATATGCATGAAGAAGAGCTAAGGTTAGGTAAGACATCTTTGAGTTGTTGGGTGAACACTGGATGGCTACTGAAGGATAGGAAGACATGTGCAGAGTAGAAAGTTTTCTTTATCACCCTGGTTAAACGTTGCGATAGAATCTCCGTAGGAGTATGTCCCCTGAATTGTAGACGTAAAAACAGAGGTTTTTTCTCCACCGTTGCAGTTCATATTTACGATTACTGTAACCTATGTTGGCTTTAATGAACTCCTCTGGATATCTGTTCTCGCTTATCTCATATGACCTGGAGTTGTTCCTCTACACAATCTTCGGAACAAATGGACCTCGCTCTAAATGTTAAGCCCCTGATCAGATCACGTTTGTGTTTCATCGGTACTAAGCTACCCCACATTCCACGAATCTATTATGACTAATCACCACTATTGTCTCCCATTTCACAATATTTTATAATCGATTTCAGCCTAGAACGTTTGTCACACAAATACTACCATTTATTTTGACACCCCATAATTAATCTGTTATTCTACGTTAAAAATGTATCCGCCGCATAACTGGCCATTATTGTAACGACGACAACAGATATTAAACCTTCTTTGGTAAATTTTGTTTTGATACCATAGCAGATGTACTATTACCTCTGCTATTTGGTTTAGTGGTCTTCAATTTTATTTTTTGACCTTGAATATGTCCTTTTAACTTGACCTAAGTCTATTTTTCTCACCTCTTACCTCTTCATTAACAGATATTACATTTTATAATTGTAAGAACCTGAAGAGAAATTATTGTAAAGAATACTCTTCGTTCAGACTGATTTTTAATTCATGATATGAAAATGTTTCACAGTATTAAATCTAATAAAGTAATGTTGCCTTATTGGTCGTTCCGTGGATAGAACTTACCACAGTCCTATTGTGTTTTCTCCAGCGACATAGCCCAAACATACCGTAAGTGGTTTTGATGACAATTACTTTTAATAGATTTTTTACCTGTCTAGCTTTCCTGGCTCGACGTGACCTCTAGGATTATTCATTCCAACCAGTATACTTCATAAACTTACTATAATATGCAGGCTCGATCTCCAAAGTGTCGTTGGAAATATTAACGGGAAGTTTATTTTGGATTTTCAATCAAATTTTGTTAACTGTGACAGGAAAATCCAAAACAATGGGTTTCTTCAGAGTTGTACTACACTTACCCTTTTCAAAGTGTTTAATCATATGCTTATCTCATACACAAATATTACGAAAAGTAGTTGTTATTAATATATGTGTAAAACTTGGGCACTGTAGTAGTAAGTAATTACATATTGGTTTATTTATTAGATATATCACACAGTGAAACAGTATTATTTACTGGATGACGTTTTGAACAAAATTTATTGTTCATAGTCATATCAATTGTAATCACTCGACCTAGAAACTTGAGTTTTATAGATTTCTTTGTCTTCTCCTATTTGTCGTAGGGGTAGCAGAATTCTCCAGATATATGGGACAGGTGTTGAATCATTCCTATTACATGTATTTGCAGTTGATTCGATAAACAAAGCTTCGGTTATCAATCTCTCCCTCCACCCGGTGACGTTAGATTTTAAAACTGTCATCCTATCCCATCCTATTATATGGTTGTGTGTGATTGCATGTATAGCTATGGCTGAACTATTCTCTAGATTTCTTATCTTATTTGGGTCAACCAATCTAGATTTTGCTAGGTTTTTATGTTTGGCTAGTCTGACTGCCCCTGTTCTACTAGTTTGACTTATGTATTTGACCTGGCAATGATTGCAGGGTATTAGATAAACTAAATTGTTTTGCCTTATTGGCTACACAGGATCCTTCAACCGACAAAGCTATATCTTGTGTTCTGAGTATAGTGAATGTGTCATCAACATATCTCCACCATACTTTTGGGGTGGGGGTGAACGTTTCCCACCTATCCATGAATATATATGGTACAACCGGGGATATTGGTAATCCCATGGCAACTCCCTCAGTTTGTTTGTATACTTTCCCTTGGAATTTAAATACTGTGGAAGTCAGGCTTTAGCTATACTCCCAGTATTATGTCCTCAAGTGGCACTTTTGTCATAAGTTCGATTTCTTGGTCAGAAATGAGTTCGTTTCTGACTGCCTCTATAACCATATTTATTGGTATACGTGTATATAAACTGACAATGTCAAAAATAACCATTTTTTCTTCATTATCTAATTTTAAATTATCTAATCTGTGTTTTAGTTCATAAGAATTAGTTGGTCTAGATTTCGAGTGGATTTTTAGGGGATTAAATACCATGGCTAAATATTTAGATAATTTATAAGTAGGTGAATTTCTAAAATCAACTATAGGCCTAAAAGTAGTTGCTTTTCAGGAATTTTGAGAAAAAACTAGGTTTCAGTGTATGATTGTGATACAATTACCACGATTAAAGTTTCCTTTTAAAAAATTAATACCCTGTGCATTCTGATCAACTGGTTAGGTTTTCTAAAAACATAACTATGTCTGAGTATAATTCTGATTAATTTTTCATATCAAAGTCTTCTGTTATGCCACTTTGTGAAACTCATCTTTGTTTTGTTTAAATAAATAGACAAATAAATAAATAGCATTTGGCTATTAGACGTAGACAGAAACAAAGCTACTTAACTGCTACTCACCTCTTCTGCTTTCAGACAGACTACTCCGTTCGACTTGACATCTATTGATTTAGTTGCATCTCCAGCAGCTGTAGTACAACCATTTCTGTATTCTTCATTAGCTACAACAACACCATTGGTATTATTATTACTTAGCTGGTTTTTTGTCTCTTCGAGACGATTATCTAATGCAGATAATTTCTCGCGTGCAATAGCTAATGTTTCAGCAGCAGCTGACTTTTTACGTGTCACAATAGCTGCTTGTTGACGAAATAGCGATATTTTATCATCTAATGGCTCACTGGAAGCCATACGTTTTTCAATTAATCGATTTGTTTCAGAATTCACATCACGTAACTGAAAGACGAGGAAAACCAAAAAGGATAACAGAAGATATATATATATATATGTTTAAACGATTAAGGTCAACGAATCATACATGCATGAGAGACATAGTCTTTATCTTCACTGGATGGCATGTGCGGTTACAGTCTGTAAACATAAAATTAAGAATATCGCATTTACGGAAATAAAGACTGATATAACAAGTAAAATGTTTGGAGACTAGATGATTGCTACAGTCACTTGTGCACCATCTTCCGAATCACAGGAACGAAACAGATTTCACCTGCGTAGCAAGTTAGAACCTACAGATAAGTGTAACTATGGATTACATCTGAGTCTACTTGTTTCTCCTCACAACAACTCGGATTCTCTTAACCTATCATTGTCGTTGTTTTGAAACTCACGATTCAACTCCACGATATGGTCTGATCGCCTCTTGCTTTTGTGAAAATAATTTCCGCCTTAAGTATGGTAGAGTGTTGTGTACAACATGTACCCGACTTGATGACCCCCAAGCACTCAGAATTCATATATCAACGCATTTTCAATGGAGAACGTGGTACAAAAGTGCATCGTTTCAACTTGCAATACTTCAGAATATGAAACATCAAGGTAGAAAAAAGAAAAATATTCAAAGAAGTAAGGGTGAAAACAAGTGTACCTGGGAGAGAATAATTTTTTATTATAGCTTGATCCCACACAGTATTTTCGGTATAACTATGGGGATTTTCAGCATGTGGTATCGGTAGCCGAAGTTTAGCAGGCTGACCAGGTGTATGTCGGCCGGGGATTAAACCTCAAACCATGTGAATGGTTTATCGGGTGTCCTAAATGCTGTGCCACCGATGCACATCGGGAACAATGAAGAATGATGAATAGTTGTGAAAGATCACAAAGCATAAGTATATCTGCATCACTGAGAAAGGTGTTTTGCAGTGTAAGTACATAATTACTACTTGACAAAGTGATTTGTCAGAAAATTATACTTTAAAAACCACTTAGGTTGTTTACACTAACTTATAAGGATAGTCATCTTCTAATCAATAAATAACTATTGGATAAAAATATTAATGTATACTCACACGAGATATTATCAGTTAAGATTTTAGAAACAAAATATGAAGAACTAAACAGAATTGCATAGATTAAAATTTTATGTTTAAGGCAACTCGTTTCATCTTCTTAAATAGATTACAAGAAGTCCAAAGTGTTGATAAGTGATTACGTGATTAATTTTTTTTTGTTTTGTTTTTGAAAATAATGTTGAACAAAGTAATATGTATGCGCATGTGAATGCAAATTGTATCAATGAAACTAAAAATAGATGAAATTCTTAAAGTGGCTGAGGGTATAATACACTCAACACTAAGCCCTTTAAACGTATAAGATATGAGAGCAAACTACAATTTGAACACGTTTATTCTAATACCTTTCAATAGTTTAGTAACATATCTAATACTGTAAGTCGTCAGAACACTGTTTCACTCAATTTTGCTACCTCAATGGCTCATAAGGTCAGTTTTACTTCCAGTCGTTGTGAATTATAAAGTTTTTTCTTCAAAATTATCCAGTGGAATGAAATGTATTTTTTTGAATAAGAGAGAATTACTTATCATCGTTATTTGCCAATGTAGACATTGCTCTCATGATGACTCATCGGTATTCAAATACCTTGGCTAATTAATTAATTAAGCTTTGCTATCATCAATATTAGCATTTCGTAGTATGTGCAGACGAAGTGATTATTTTGTTGCTTAAGTTCTAACGAATCATCATTAAAAAGCGATGAGAAATGTCAGAAGACCTAGTTGGCCATACTGTAATAAAATTATAGAACAGGTGAACAGAATGAATCAGCACTATTTATTATAGTTCAGGTTACTTATCATACAAATGAAGAAATTTTAGATCACTTTCGAAACAAATACCGTCTTCTTTGTACACAATATGACTGACTATTAAATCAATCCATAAATATTATAGTCATTTTCTTTTCTTCCGGACTCATTTAATTTTGTGCGTCGGTGGCACATTGGTTAGGACTCTCGCCGACCATGCACATGGTCCGGGGCTCGAGCCCACGCCAGCGCACACCTGATATCTATGGTCAGCCTGCGAAATTTGGGCTACCGTTATCACATGCTGAAAATTCCATACTTGTATCAAAAATACGGTGTGGAATCAAGCTGTAATCAAAAATTTACAAAAATAAATCCTCACTCTCCTAGCTATACAATCTCGTCTATTGTAGTTTTATTGAATTGTGTGTATTTTTATAAAATGTGGCAAGTTGAACTGATATACTTTTCAAATAAAGTATAATTATATTTTAATAGTTTACACACAATGATAAGTTTTTTTATTGGTAATATTTCGAGCAAAATTACTGCCCGTGTTCACACCACTGTTGGAATTGTTTTGATATACTTTTGTTCAAAGTTCTACTTTGAAAACTCATTTCCGTTCATTTCACCGTCTTCCTTGAAGCCTAATGTTAGCTGAACGAGGATTCGCCTGAACTGCTGAAACGAAAACACGGAATCAATCTATAAAGTCATCAACTACTAATTTTAGTCTCATAGACAGTAATTGCAGATTGTTTGGTTGAGGTTCACGGGGTTCTAAGAATCAGTGCCCAGATATTCCTTATGGTACGACTAAAAATCCTATTCGTTGGCGTAGATGTATTAACACCCCTTTATTTCCGAACCCAAAAAGCTTCAGTAAGCCTTACTTAAATATTTACTCAGTCACATCTATTTGTGTTCGTCACTGAAGTATTATTTGGTTTCTGTTAGCCTACTTTGTGTGCTTTTTACAGAGTGTTAATCACTCACTCGCTATGACAATAAGTTACACCATTTTTACATTTTTAATGTTTTCATGACTCGTAATTAGTCCAGATAAATCTTCAGTATACTTAATACCCTTATTTTTAGAGTTAGAATAACTAACTGACTGAATTGTCAAAGTCGAAATTTGGACAAAAACTCATCAGTTGAAGTTGTCAAAACTAATAAAAATACATATTAGGTAATAAAAAAAAAGAAATGCAATGAAACTAGGTTTAGCTGAAATATCCAGGACAGAGAATAACTAGATGAAGAATCATGAGGATTTAATGAATGCTGTCGTGTCACCATCATTGGTCTCCAACCATTATTCCTTAACTTTCTAAGGATCCAAGTAAAGCAGTGTACACCTCCTTATGTGGCTCAAACTAATAGTCTAAGACTTTATGCATTGGTCTGGCCACCCTTATCTCTTTCTTCACCTACACCTATTTTAACTAACATTTCTAATCGAGGAAAGTCGTACGTCAGCACGAGTAACACTTGTCTTAGTCATTCCATTTTTTTCACAGTCTCATCGACTCTAACTTTAATTTCACTGGTCATATTGTACTGCCTGACACGAAAAACTATGCATAAATACTTATAGTCAGAGACTTCTGTCGTCTTTTTTAGTAGGATTATCAGATGTTGAAACTGAAAAAAAGAAGTAAATAACCATCAATATTTATCTTTTCTGATTTTATCGACTTATAGTGTTAATTACAATCAACAGAAAAAAGAAAAACCATCACCTGTTGATTAAGTTGATCCAAATACGATTGACTCATAGCTGGATGTGAAACAACCTTGTTTAAATCTTCAATATATTTTCTTGCAGTAGATAATTCTTTAGGCAATTTCTCAGAAAGCATATATTGATTGACTCTTGTCTCTTCTTCAATACGTTGTATCAACGCTGAAAAAGAAACTTACTTAGTGTAGATAATTATTTCTTAGGCACAAAAGTGTGTAAAGCTTTTGAGTGTTTTTAATCAATAAACTTACTAAAAGCAAACGTACATGTAAAACATTCAAAATCATTCACTTAAAAATAAAACGATTTAAAATCGCTTTCAGAAGGTCCACTCGTCAAGTTTAAGAATAAATCTCAGGGTATACCTATCATCCCATCTGAATATTTCAAATTTATGTGGTGAGAACTCATCTTCTCGGCGTTCTAATCTATAAAAGCCTCAACACCACTTTGAGTGTTTTATCAATAAATCAATTATACGAAAGTTCGTGTACAATTATTTTTGTTTTTTATGATGGAAATCGATACTGTTTGTATGCATGCCTTTTCCGACTAGATAAGCAGTTATACATAATTCTGTAAACATTTGATTTATAAGCAATCAAAATATCTTACGTAGTCTTCAAAAAGTTGTATATTGTGTTGTGTTAATCCTCTACATTTAAATCAAATTAAGCAATGGTATTACTTCAGTGAGAATTATTATGTTGTTATTGTTTCCTTTAGTTCCTAGAAGAACATAGGACTTCAGCCGCCCATCTCCATTGCTTTCGGTTTCCTGCCAACGTTTTCACCTGGTCCCATGTCTGCCCATATGTTTTCACCTCCTCTTCACATGACCTCCACCATGTCACCCTCGCGCTGACGACCAACTCGCCGCTTCCCGTTCAGGTTCCCCTCGAGAGCCTGTCGTGTGATGGTTTTCTCAGAGTATAGCCAATCCGCCTCCGTTTATTCCTGTATATTTGTTGCACAATCTGTTCCCACTTGGTTGCTTCGTTCATTGCCAGAGATCCCTGTTGCTGATCTTTTCTGGTCGGCCATCTGATCCTGAGTACTGAGCGCAAACAGTTATTGATGAAGGTCTGTAGTTTGTTCGAAATGCCCTTCAGTGAGAATAAACTATTATTAAAGTTTATTAAGAGACTAATAGTTGCCAGTAATTGTTGAGTGGAAACCACTGAAATACCTTGATGGTTGACTCATTTTTTCAGTCTATTCATCTGATGATAAGATCTAAGAGCGATTGTATTTATTTTTAGATTAGCTGAATTAAAGTGTACATGTGAAGTGTGCAACGCTTGTGGTACCTTTCTTTGGCTAGCTAAATGGAAACTGGGAATCCACTGAACACTTATTACCTAGTCATATTTTTTCCTGAAAGGGTTATTCATCAGTATTAGTTTTCGATTTACAGCTAATTCTAATCCCACATCACCTACTTCCAAATAAAAAACTGGCTGATAACAAAAATATTATTGCAGATCGTTACACAGTGATTAAGTTATTCGCTAGTTTAGATGTCAAGACCACTCACTACTGCTGACCATAAACTTAGAAATGCAATCACTTTGAATAAGCAAAATAAATCGAGAAATTAGAGGAGGCTAGGGATTAAATAGTTTAGTAATATTGGCGGCCTGCTTAAAACTTAGGCCACCAGGAAATTCCATCTCTCTATTGCATATATTTTCTCTTTTCGGTTTCTTTTAATCGACTAAGATATGACCTCTAATGGTACTATTTACTCTTGTGTGTATCTGATTCGCAGGTTCCTACTAAACCTGGGGAAAGGTCTGACTGTGGTTGGCAAAGTGTTCCGATACATGAAATAACCATTCTTCAGTTAAGTCCTTGAGTCTCCAAATGTACTCCAGAACAGCTGGCTTTCAATTACATATCGTGGGTTTCTTGAAAGAGACAAAGCAGATATATCATAATGGAATGGTTTGTGCTTCAGATCAGAGACGATTGTATCACAGGATATACTGTCAGTTAATATTTTACTTGAAGATATTTTACGAGGGGGAAATATCATATCAATAAATTCCTCTGAAAATTCTGTACATTTTATTAAACACTGTCCAGAATACAGATGTTATTATTATTATTTCTTTAAATGTAACCAATACTAATATGCTATTTTTATTATTACCAAATTTGCTTAATATAGGATTTCGTTTATTTATAAGTTTGAAGCTTTGCGTTATAAATGAGAACTGAATTCTGTAGAATCATTTTTGTATCTGTGATCAGTGTTTTCATTGAAACAAAGCTGTCAGAAATACTTAAGTCTCTATGAGTTTATTTTAATGAGTAATGACCTAAATGAAAAGTGATTATGTTTTGATTTGCTTTATTGTAAAAATTCAGTGTTGGTATGGATACTCTACTGAGTTTTCGGATATTATCTCTATCCTATTGAACATTGGATAAAGAGACGATACCTGCTTTATTTTACCAAACAAATAGTCTTATATTCAAGATAAGGGAAAAAATATATTGTTTTGAAGGTATGTGGAAGTCAACTGTGTTGTTTGTACTCGTAATTAGTCAACAAAGTGCATATTCAAGAAAACGATTACAACCAAAAGTATAAGCCATATATGGTTATGTTGTTATGTACGATGCTTCATTGAATTATTTTATACTGCATAATGGTTTATACTACCCTATAGTACGACTGTGACCGTGCATAGTTTTCTAAAGTGAAAAGCTTAATAGGGGTTGCAGGTTGTTCTTCATAGATCATCGTATAACACTACTGGCTTTTGTAGGGATTACAGAGTAAGTTGTGTTTAAGTTAACTGTGGAGTGCTTGACAAGAAGAATGAGTCAATATGTATCAGATACATTTTTCCTATACAGAGTTACTCATCAAAATAAATATTTAGTGTTAATTGAAGCAAAAATGAATTTAAAAGAAAACTAAGTGTGACCAGATAAATATATGACGACATTAATCCACGAGGTTTTATGAATGCTCGTCCCTGTTATGCTTGGCTACATTCACTCAGATGTAGACTGAACACAAAGGCTGTAGCGCTGATAAAATTCAGTTGTCTGACTTTCACTGTCTATCTTTCAACTCATAAACGTTTTCTATTTCTTTCCCTCTACTCATTTTATGGACTAATAAAATGTAGTAACGTTAAATAATGCACTACTATTCAAGACTTTATAGATATCCAGATTACTGTGAACTACAGAATGCCGTATTAGTTCACTGAAAAACGTGTCGTGTTTCATTGTCACTTATATCCGCATTTTTATACCTTGGATAACGTCAGTCAACCGATTTGTGTATCATTAGCTTTATATTGTGATCATTATGGCATCTGAACAGTGCGTATGCAAGGTAAGCATGAATAAATACTGTTGGAACTTTATAAAACAAGAAGTTAAACATCTCATAATGATTCTCAATCGCTAGCTAGAAAATGTTTCACAGTATTACAGCTGAATTTATTCAATTTGAATTTTAGTCGGCTGAAATTATTCATACAGTTATGTTAATTTAAATATTTGTGTTGTTTACTTTTGTTTTCTTCAACCAGATCCTAGATATATATGGCAGTAATTACTGACAGAATTATTCTTATTGTTATTAGGTCTAAATTGTTATTATTATTTTGTTGGACTTTCTAAAATATGGCAAATATTTCATAGGCCATGTTTAAACAAGATATCTTTGAGGTGTTGTGTGTAAGATTTTAGAAACTAGTTTATGCGATGTTCTGTGCATAAATGTAATGCTTGTTGGCATACGTCAGAAAAGCGCATTCACAGTATTGGCACAACTCATGACCGCTATAATAACTTTACCACTGAGCTATCTAAGTCACAACTAGTAACCAGAGAAGCTGGGTGATATACAGGAATAATACTAATAATATTAATGCGTAGATATTTCATTCATGGATCGAATCAAAGTTAGGTTTAAATATTGTGGTGCACTCTATGATTGACTGAAACCACTTCGTGAACTATTGAAAGACAAGGATCGATAGACAGCAGTGTTCACCCATGAGCCCACTATAAATGAAATCAATCACCTTCAGGAAACAAGGTGAATATGTTCCTATTCAGCCGCTGGGTTGGAATCCAGTGGTCGATAAATTACCGCTAAAAACCAATAAGTACTGAAGAGTTGTTTTTCTATGGTTTAGGGCTCTTCACCATTTAGGATATATATATATATATATATATATATATATATATATATATATATGTATTATTTTTAAAATCTGTAAACAAAGTGTTGGTAATGTAAGTGTTACTACTCAGTCCTAATTTATAGTAGTCTACAAGCAGTAAAAGTATAAGAATTCACTTTCCTCAGCTCGTTGTTAAACACTGATAAAACGGTAATGTAACCCAAGAACTTTTCAACAATAACCTCTAATTTTCTCATTACATCGTTGCTTAACTCAATAAAAACGAAAATTCAGAATGATGAAAGTTTTATTTCAAAATACATTTCTAAGGCATTGGATCTATGGGAAGCTTCATAAATGTAACTTTTAATGGTAATTACATCAAAACTAAAAAAAATTAGCATCAGATGAAGGTAACTGTTGTGTTGAAAATTAAAGAAAATATTGTGTAAGCATTTAGGAATATCAAAGCTGTTAGGATATATGTGACCACAGGAATGTGTTAGCCCAATTGTGATTAAATATTGTTAAAAAAAAACTAAAAAACGACCACTATCATATCGAATCACTGACGCCGGAAGCATATGAATCCGAGTAGCTTAAACAACTTAACTGTTGACATAACTCTTTATGATTTGCCGATAAAATAGTTTTAGACAACAAGTATGAGAAATGGCAGTGTATAAATTACTCTTATCCAGAGCCGAACTGAAAATGACTCACCAGCACATTATGATTCAGTAATTTGCTTACAGATGAGGCATACACTGTTGAGTACTTTTAGATTGCTCTTTGTTTGCACAAAGATAACTTATTTTATCTTACAGTGTCTTGTTTCACCTCATTAATAACTCTTCACAATAATCAATCACACCATTATTACAAACTTCATCATATTCTCTTGGTGATTTATTTTTTACCATTTTCAATTTCGAACTTTTCATACAGAATCTACTGACACCTTGATGGAGTGATAGTCACTTTCTATATCAAAGCTGAATCCACCTAGCATTTTTGCTTATATTTTGATCCCTTGTATTGTTCAAGTCAATGCTACTGCCGAGTTAAGGAGGATTCATATTTCATTTCCTTCCCCTTTATATCCTGAAGTGTTGGTTAAGCTTGTCTACTCATATCCCTTAGTAGTGTATTTCAATCATCCTTTGACAAATAGTCTTTTAGATGACAAAGGCTATTCTCCGCATAAATTATAATTATACTACAGTTGTTTGCACACAATTATAAGTTTTTGTTTTTGGTAATATTTCGAGCAAAATTACTGCCCGTGATCACACCAACTGCTGGAATTGTTTTGTCTCCATAGTCTAATCATCATTCTTATTTTAAAACCACAGAAAGGTCAAGCGGAGATGAATGAATTCTGTTATTGACTTGTTTTCGAAATATAACCATTTTCAAACAAATTTGAACTTGACCTTCATGATTCTATTTGTAAATGCCATATTTACTAAATCGATACTTGTTATTACTTGTATACAATATTTCTGCATCACTATTTTCATGGGTACAGTCACCCTGCATATGTTCTGCAGTGTTACATTTTTCTCAAAATTAGTTCATCTGTCATGTATTTTACATTTATTTGGTCAGTAAATAAACAGCCATGTCTACAAACTATAAGTCACTGATGATATACTTAGATTTATCTGTACTGTTTATAAGCTAACAAAAGGACTACATTCACTGAACTGCTACAGAGGCTGAGAAACAAATGAATTGATTAAAACATTAAACTTCATACCACGGATTGAATAAAAATGAGGTATCTTGGAGATGTATTAACGCAGTTGTTGTTCTCATATACCAGACTACAAGCCAAACTTATTATCGGCCAGTGACCAATCAAATCCCTGCAAACCAAAACTTGATAATTAATCCGATGCTCACTAGGGTCTAACCACGCCAGATACTAGCTTGCTAGGCTACTAGCTTACTAGTTTTCTCGCCGGTCCCAAGCCCGGGTAAAGAGGGAGGGTTGGGGCGTGGTGCTAGCAACTCCACCCCTGTAAAACAACCAAATCGCTACAGAAACTTCAACGAATAAATATATTAAAAATTCTAAAAACATAAGCAATAGCCTTACTTTTCGCTGGAATCGGGGAAGTGAAATGACGCAGGCTGGTGAAAGCCTTCGGGAAGCCAGTCAGCCGATGTGCCTTCTTTCGATGAAAGCAAAAGTAAGGATGGGTACCTGGAATGTTCGTACAATGTACGAAACTGGAAAGGCTGCCCAGATAGCCGCTGAAATGAGAAGGTACAGAATAGAAGTGTTGGGAATCTGCGAAGCAGATGGAACGGAACTGGAAGGTGCCAACTACCTACTGGAGAGACAGTAATCTTTTCCGGCCACCCAGAGGACAACCATGAGCACACCGAGGGAGTGGCCATCATGATGTCACCAACAGCAACCAAAGCTCTCATGCAGTGGGAACCAATCTCCTCCAGGATAATGACAGCCAGGTTCAACTCAAAAGGAAGGAAAGTTACAGTCATTCAATGTTATGCGCCTACAAACGTCTCAGAACAAGAGAAGAAGGAGGCGTTCTACAGACAACTACAAGCAATAATGGACAACGTCCCAAATGGCGATATCAAAATCCTGATGGGCGACATGAATGCGAAGCTGGGAAGAGACAACACAGGAAGAGAACTCACCATGGGTCGTGAGGCCCTCGGCGAAATGAACGACAATGGTGAACTCTTCTCAGACTTCTGCGCCTTCAATGATTTGGTGATTGGTGGTAGTGTGTTCAAACACAAGGATATACACAAGACGACATGGATTTCACCAGATGGAAACACCAAGAACCAAATAGACTTCATCTCAATTTCAAGAAAGTGGAGACGGAGCCTACTGGACACAAGGTCAAGGAGAGGAGCAGATGTGGGTTCAGACCACTATCTAGTAGAAGGGACTTTCAAGGTGAAACTAAAAGCCTCGAGGATAGCTGGGGATAGGCCACAATGCAAGTTCAACACTCAAAACTGAAGGACACAACCACAAAAGACACTTCACTGCAACTGTCAGAGCAAAGCAGGAAACACTACGCGACATCACTGAAGAATCATGCGTGGAAGAACATTGGAAGTCTCTGAAGGCGATTCTCAACGAAACGTGTTCAACGGTTCTAGGAAGAAAGAAGAGACAAGACAAGGAATGGCTCTCAACGGACACTTGGAAATTAATAGAAGAGAGGAGAATGGTGAAAGAGAAAATGATTCAATGCAAGGACGGACAGGAGAAGGAGACGCTGAGCTCAACTTACAAAGCACTGGACAAAGAAGTGAAGAAGAGTGCTAGGAAGGACAAAAGACGATTCTACGACAATCTAGCTACTGAAGCTGAAAGGCAGCAGGCAAAAGGGACCTGAGGACACTATATCAGATAACCAAATCTCTATCCGGGAAGAGACCAACACAAGCGAAACCTATAAAAGACAGCCAAGGGAACCCAATTACCAAGGAAGAAAAACAGATTAAACAATGGGCGGATCACTTCAAAGGACTCTTGAACCGACCATCACCTGCAACCCGTCCAGAAATACCAACAACAGCGCGCACACAACTGCAAGTTGACACCAATCCTCCAACGAGAGCTGAAGTCTTGAACGCAATCAAGCTTCTGAAAGCTGGAAAAGCAGCCGGACCAGATGGAATACCCCCTGAAGCACTGAAAGCAGACCCAGAGACTACAGCAGACATGCTGACTCCATTATTGCAAAAGGTCTGGAAGGAGGGAAAGGTGCCTACTGACTGGAGGAAAGGTTACCTCGTGAAACTACCAAAGAAGGGCGACTTAGGCCTCACTCTGCAAGAACTGGCGAGGAATCATGCTCCTATCGACGCCAAGTAAAATCCTGAGTCGCATCATCCTGGAGAGATTAAAGGACGCACTGGAGACAGAACTCCGACCAGAACAAGCTGGATTCAGGAAAGGCAAATCATGTACTGACCAAATTGCAACTCTACGCATCATCATCACAGAACAAAGCATGGAATGGCAATCAAACCTCTACCTCAACTTTATAGACTTTGAGAAGGCCTTCGACAGCGTTGACCGTGAAGTAATTTGGAAATTACTCGAGTACTATGGCGTACCCCAAATATTCATCAACCTTATTCAACAGCTGTACGACAACGGCACATGTCAAGTGATCCACAACGGAAAACTCAGCGAGGCGTTTGGAGTAAACACAGGAGTCAGACAAGGGTGCTTATTATCACCAATGATATTCCTAATTGTGGTGGACTGGATTATGCGTCAGACAGTGGGAAACGAGAAGACAGGAATATCCTGGACCGACGTGAAGAACCTAGAAGACCTGGATTTCGCGCGTGGATGATTTATGTTTGATGTCACACACAATCGAAGACTTACAAGCGAAAACCGACAAACTGGTCGAAGAAGCAGCGGCGAAGACAGGACTCCAGGTAAACATAGACAAGACGGAGGTTATGAAAATAACCAACAACCAACCAACAACAGCACAACATCCAACGTCAATCACCATCAACGGGAGGGATTTGAAAGAGGTTACTTCATTCACTCACTTATCTAGGGAGCATTGTCTCAACTACAGGAGCGGAACGGACGAGGATGTCAAATCGAGCGAGAATCGGGAAGGCGAGAAACACATTCATTCATCAACCTGAAATCAATCTGGAAATCTTCGTCACTCAGCAGCATCAACAACAAAATTTCGGATTTTCAATACAAACGACGTCAAGTCAGTCAGTTCTTCTATACGGATCAGAAACTTGGCGGGCGGGTCACAAAGAATATTTCCAAAAGGTTGCAGACCTTTATTAACAACTGTCTTCGCTCTATACTGAAGATCAGATGGCCGGAAAGAATCACCAACAAGGAATTATGGGAACAAACAAAGCAAGAACCAATCGCCCAACAAATATGCAGGAGAAAGTGGAGATGGATCGGACACTCGCTGAGGAGACCGCTGGGTGACATCGCGCGTCAAGCCCTCGAGTGGAACCCGAAAGGGAAGCGGCGTGTGGGACGTCAGTGCAAGGGTGACATGGAGGAGATCGTGTGAAGAGGAGTTGAAAGAATATGGACTAACATGGATGCAGGCGAAAAGTACAGCAGAAGACAGAAGCAAATGGAGACGTGCAGTTGAAGCCCTATGTTCCACTAGGAACCCAAGGGAGCAATAATAATAATAATCACTAGGGTCCGGTTTTGTACAGGAAGTTATCTGGAATTATAGTGACACGTCGTAACCAGCAAAGTTTACCAAGTCATGTAAGAGGACAGTTGCTTGCTTTTGACATTAGTTGGCGGTCCCGCTATATATATATATATATATATATATATATATATTGAATTGACAGAAGTTGGAATTCACAGACCATTTGATCGGCTGTCAGTGGTCGAATGTTCTACGAGGTCATCTTCTAACTTGAAGGTCCTGGTTTTGACCCCCAGTGGGTGCATGCTGATGGAAAGTACCGAAACAGGACGCAACAGCTGTCCAACACTATCTGGTTCACCAATGGTCCTTTAACTGATACCAGCTCGTGAACAAACCTGAAATGACGCACTTTTGTCTGAGTTTTTCTCTTAGTAACTTAGTTAGACAATGGATATTTGCAGACTAACTAAAGTTCATTAATTAAGTTGATGTGCAATTGTTAAGTAAATTTTTGATTTTTTCATCTAAAATATACTTTGAATTTGCCATCCACTGATTGACTGGATAAGCAAATAAGTGGCTGTATGGGATATTAACTCATAATTGCTAAAAAACACTTAAACCCTTTCATCTCTCAAAAAAGACATAAAATAGGGAAAATGTCAGACATAATACTAAAAAGCACGCGCATAAACTGATGGCACTAATAAACAATTCAGTGATATGAGGTCTTTAAACATTTCTTACTTGATGGTGTTGCTCCCGTTGCAGCTTTCCTTAATTCTTTTACTTGTTGTTGAACCCTCTGAATACGTTGATCTAAATTAGCAATCTAAAATCATTTAAGAAAAATAATAACTACTACACGTTTTGATTCTTTTATATTCAGAAACACATTTTAGAAAAAGCATTCTAGTTGTGACTAACGACAGTTACTAGGATGTGTCTTTTTTTTAAATCCAGGAAAAATGTGATTTTTAATTATATTTCACCAGGAAATAAGCGTTTGCATCACATACAAGAGTTTTATACTGGCACTACCTAGAACGAATACTTTTTATTTAGTAGATACTGGTCATGCGTAAAGATCTTTTCCATTCAAAAATTCACTCGATAAAACTAACACTTGAGATGAAATTCGCATCACTAACCAGCACTGTGTTGACAATAATTAAACGATTTTGATCATGTAATTTAATGACTATGTAATATATTACGATAATTCCTTCGATATCATTGTGATGCGTATAGAAGTCTCCTTTTGTATGCTACACAACACCATAAGTGAACGTAAGAAAAGCGCAGCTGATCTTTTAACGGTACCCATCCTACGTATCCACCACCATACAGTGTTGCCATCGAATCCAACTGAGCAGAAGTATAATACGAGCTGTTTCAACGCAGGGGCCCCAAGGTATGCTCGTGAATACTGACCAGGGAAAGCAAACAGATAGAAGGTTTTGTAGTAGGTCACTGTGGAAAATTTTGGTTTTACGTTTCACTTTTGAGGAGGGGGTGTTATATCTCCTTAGTTTTCTTGTCATATTCCCTAATTCTGTGTTGACATCAGGATCTATATTTAGCATATCAGTTGACCTTATCCTTTCCAAATACTGCTCGTTGAGTGATACTGGATCATTCTGAATCGGTCGTGTTATGTGAGCTTGTTCATTTAACTGCGAAACTCTGATTTTACTTCTAGACAACATCTACATCTCCAGCAAACCTGTTGAACTGAGGGTGTCAAAGTAACCCTCGCACATGTTACATACCGTTTGCTTTACAGAACTTTTGCAGGGCTTGTAAGGTAAATGGACGACTGTTTTCAGATACAGTGCATTCTAGGATGCCATAGCATGCGAAGATTTTTTAAAGAGATGTTATTGTTCGGCTTCTGGGAGGTGGGGTTATTGGTACTACATCTTCAAGAACCAGATAGTACACACTATCTACCGATAAAATCCATTAGTAGTCGGAACCATGGGGCGGATTTTCGGCTTCAGCTTCGCGCAAAGTCTTTTATATCAGGATCTATACCCAACCAGTAAACACAGCTTCTGTCAACCGACTGTTTACTTGAAATACCTTGATGACCACAGTGAAACTGCTTCAGAGCAGTAGTGTGAAGAGAGTCTGATGTGAATACATGTTCTACAAACATTAGGCTCTCATTAACTACATTAACTACAAGGAATGGAAGTTTGCAGGATAAAGAAAAACTACGTAGAGAATGGTAAGGACTTAACAGATCTGTGAGATCACGAATTGTGAAGGCATCTGCACCATTGAGAAAGATTTTAAATCACATCAGCAGCAGTCTGCAGCCACTAATTCTTAGCATCTGGAGGATTCCAGACAGACAGCCTGTACCTTACTACCCGGACAACAAGGTGAATTTGCAAAATTCAGCAGACCGCTCAGCTAGCTCTGGAGGAATCGCAGGTGTAGGAATAGCACTGCGTGTTAGGACTCAAAAATCACTTTTCGACTGGATCCCAGTAGATAGTCGTATGTGTGCGGTCCGTCTAAATGGGTCCGTTAGAAGAAGGAAAGACGGCGCTACTCATCGTTGGCTCTTCGTAGTCTCCGCTTACGCCCTAACAGACTGCACTTCGGATGAACTAAAGGATGACTTCTACCTGAAACTGTCTAATTTACTGTAAAAAGCAAAACGTTCAGATATAGTTGTTTTAGCAGGCGACTTCAATGCCCAAGTAGGGGAGTTGTGCCAGACTGAGAAGTATGTAGGTGGTACGTATGAAGTGCCCCGCCGACAAACCGATAACGGTAATCGTCTTCTACAGTTTTGCTCAGATAATCATCTGTTCCTAGTCAGCACTAACTTTAGGCACAAAGAGAGACATTGTGTAACCTGACGACCTCCATCACCAAATCAACGCTGGACTCAGATAGACCACACAGCGGTAGGGTATCGTTGGAGAGGATCAGTAGGAGACTGCCACTCCTTTTGGAACACGTGCGTAGACTCTGATCACGACCTGGCCCACACACGTTTGTGCTTACGACTAAACGGACATAAGAAATTGTTGGCAGCGAAGCAGTTGCGTTCCAAACTAGATCGAGACACTGAGTATCTATTTAAGGTGGGAAAAGCGAAACGTGTATCTGAGGTCGTCAACAGGACTCCTCTTGAGGTAGCCTTGCACAACATACATTTAGATGTAGATACAGCTGTAAAAGCTGTTAATAACCTAAAACCAAAAGTTAGTAAGACCCATTCGAACTGACTGACGTAAGAAGACTGATTCCAGCGAGCTCCGATTATGATGAGGAGCGATGGTTGCTCAAATGCAAACTAACAAGAAGCCTTCGTAACGACCGTGAACAGTGGTGGGTGACAAAAGCGAAAGAGATAGAAAAGGCATCGGCGATTGGTAACACCAGACAACTATTTAGGCTTATCAGGGAAACAGGTGGTAAAAGGCAAATGATAGGTGAAACAATCTCGGAGAAAAATGGTACCATAATTAGCTCCCAGAATAGACGACTGGAACGCTGGAAAGAGCACTATGAAGAGTAGGTTAATTGACCTACAGACACGCTTAAACTGCCGAACATCCAACACCTCCCTGAATGGGATATAGACACAGGTCCTCCGTCCCGAACTGAGGTTACTAAGTCTGTCACTATTTTGAAACGAGGCAAAGCAGTGGGGCCCGATGGAATGACTCCAGAGATATTTAAGTACGGTGGAGACAATTCACTGTCTGCGTTGACTAACGTATTAGACAACGTCTGAGAACCAGAAGAAGTCCCTTCGGGTTGGTTTAAGTCATTGATTATCCAGATATACAAGAAGGAAGACAAGTCTTCCTTAATCCTGCAATCACAGAGGGATTAGCTTGACTTATATAGTATCTAAAGTCTTAGGCTCAATAATATTGCGTACACTACTAAGTGGTGCGGGTGGGGGGGAACAAACACGAGAGCCAGACAGGCTTTAGACCAGGAAGAGGATGTATTGATCATATCTTCACCCTCCGACAGATTCTAGAACATAGGAATTCCTACCGGCGTCCAAAAATCATTATATTTCTTGACCTAAAAGCGGAATTCGATTCTGTCGACCGAGAGGTTCTTCGGCGATGCTGTAAAGGGAATGGCAAGAAAATACATTGCATTGATTAAGACACTCTACTCGTACTCATGCAGCCTGGTGAGGGCTCACGGCGAGTTGTCATCTGAAGTGGTGATAACTAGTGGTGTCCGTCAGGGATGCCCAGTATCCCCATTTCTATTCAATTTCATCATAGATGTACTAATGGACTTAACCCTAACTCACTTCAGAGATTCAGGGATTGACTTGTTACCATCAGGAAATAATCTCGTTGACTTAGAATATGCGAATGATATAGTCCTCCTAGGTGAAGGCGCTGACATAATGCACAGTCTTCTGAACACCTTGAGCTGCAATCTTCGAATGTTTGGCATGCGGTTTGCTCCCGTCAAATGTCAGATGATACTACAGGACTGGACTACACTGACTCCTAGCTTCGAAACAGAGGGTGAAGTGGTAGAGCACGTCGGCCGCTTCACTTATTTGGGAAGTTACATTAGCCAATGCCGACGGGTTGACCGCTGACCAAATCTCAGCATGGATACAGAAGGTTAGTTTCGCATATGCTAGTTTATGCTGTCTTTGGCGTAGACGAGATATCGGATTATCAACCAATGACGTGTGTACTGCTCAGCACTTCGCTCCGTCCTCCTTTATGGTTTTAGGTGAGTCATGGCCATTGAGAGTGGAAGACATGAAGAAGCTGGCTAGCTGTATTTGATCATGAGTGCCTAACTTCTATCTCCCGTGTTAGGTGGTAGTGGTAATAGGGTGAGCAATATTGAGGTCAGGGATCGGTTAAGTGTTGAGGGGAAATCAATTGACGAGGCTAAGAAGCTACATCGACTGAGATTGTAAGACATGTGCCAAGCATGCCTAGTCATTGCCTTCCTCGACAGGCAGTGTTAGCGGACATAAGGTCAGGATGGAAAAGAGCTGGTGGTGTTCAAACCAAAACATGGCTTCATCAGTCAATGAAACCCACAACAGTTAGTTTAAGCCACGTAGGGAGGTGTAGACTTCCTGGTCGGGGTCTTCGGGACGGTAAACACCGATGAGTGGAGATAATTGGTGGTGTTGCTAAAAATGGTTCTCAATGGTGCAGATGCATCTACTACTAACTTCCAACATAACTATATTGTTATTCGATATTACTATTCCTTTTGCTTCATATCTCTGTTTACAGCCTCTATTTCGCATTCCTTTTTACTTCCTTCTCTTGCTTTGTGTTCTGAGTGAAGTCTGGCAACTCGAACTACTGCACATCTGTGCAAAGTTCTATGTTGGAACCAGACAGCACCTGGCTCAATCCTGCCGTCAAAGACATTATGGATGGATGCCAGATTTTGATGTAACTACCCGCCCAAATCTTTTTCATCGAAATCCCATGTCAGCCAATATTGTTAATGGAAGAAGGTTCTGGATTGATATGTGTAGCAATTGTCCTAGCCATCTTAATCTATGGAGCCTCCCAGTCTCATCGATTGACTTTCCATCTTCACCTAATTTTCTGAGTGCAACAACAATGTAAATCATCATGTTATAATATTTAACAAGGAGACAGACTGCAAATACACTTGCTGAATTCTGTTAACCTCTTAAGATCTCACACTTTTAACGGCCGAGTGTCTCAGTTGTAAAGAGAGATGAATCAAACTACCATGTAGTACATGCACATGTGCTTTGATTGATAGTTAGATATCATGTCCACGCTACACAAGCCTTTTGTATAATTGTTCAGATTCTGGGGGCAA